TCGCTGTGCCCGCGTGTTCTTCTCGCATCCTTCTCCTCCTCCTCCTCCCTCCTCCTCCTCCTCCTTCCTCCTCCTGCCTCCTCCTCCTCCTCTCCTCCTCCTCCTCCTCCCCTCCTCCTCCTCCTCCTCCTCCCCTCCTCCCTCCTCCCTCCCCTCCCTCCTCCTCCCTCCTCCCTCCTCCCTCCTCCTCCCCCTCCTCCCTCCTCCCTCCTCCCTCCTCCCTCCTCCCTCCTCCCTCCTCCCTCATCCCTCCTCCCTCCTCCTCTCCCCTTCTTAGGGCCCGATTCCCCATTCCCGAAGACGCCCCCTCGGAGGACCCCACGGGGCCGAAGACGATGGAGGAGCTGGACAAACACATCGGCATACAGAGAGAGGCGGCGGATCTCGTGAACAAACAGATCGAAGAGTTCCAGGACGGGGGCGGCGGGTTGGGTTGGCCAGCTGAGCCAGCTCGACCGCAGGGAGGCGTGAAAAGAGGGAGGGTGAAGGGGGAGAAACGGGGGACGAGTAGGGACTGACTGACAAACCAGCTTGTGCATCTGACCACCCTGTAAACAGGCGGGGATCAACCCAAACTGCCCCCATTGGGCGTGTCGGTGCCCACCTCGTCGGTTTCGGTTGGTCGATTAGGAGCTCCATCAGGCCACGCAGCCGTTTCTGCTCCCGGACTGGGGGATTGGCATCGCTCGGACGTGTGCATTTGTCCCAGCCATCCTGTGGTGCTAGGTCCTCGTTTTGAAAAGGCAGCACCCCGCGTCACCTTACTTACTCCTGCTGCCCCTTCCCTCCTCCCATCCCTGCCTCTGCTCTCCGCATGCCCACCATTTCGGCACACCCCTCACAAGGTTTGTGGCACCGAAGGCCCCAGGGGATGCGTCCAGGTGCGTCCCCGCGATTGATTTCGGCACACCCCTCACACGCTTCCGCTTCGTGACCCCATAAGGAGCTCCACCGAAGGCCCCAGCGGCAGGGTTGACATGCGTCCCCGCGATTCATGTCGGCACACCACTTTCACGGCTCGTGGCACCATAGGGAGCTCCGCGCAAGGCTCCCATGGCAGGATTCACTTGCGCCCCCGCGATTTATCTCGGCACACCCCTCACACGCTTCGTGGCCCAAAAGGGAGCTCCACCGAAGGCCCCAGCGGCAGGGTTGACATGCGTCCCCGCGATCCATGTCGGCACACCACTTTTCACGGCTCGTGGCACCATAGGAAGCTCCGTGCAAGGCTCGCATGGCAGGATTCATTTGCGCCCCCGCGATTTTATTTCGGCACACCCCTCACACGCTTGGTGGCCCCATAAGGAGCTCCACCGAAGGCCCCAGCGGCAGGGTTTACATGCGCCCCCGCGATCCATGTCGGCACACCCCTTTCACGGCTCGTGGCACCATAGGGAGCCCCATGCAAGGCTCCCATGGCAGGATTCACCTGCGCCCCCGCGATTTATTCTGGCACACCCCTCACACGCTTCGTAGCCCCAAAGGGAGCTCCACCGAAGGCCCCAGCGGCAGGGTTTACATGCGCCCCCGCGGCCCATGTCGCCACACCCGTGACGCGGTTCGTGGAGCTCCCTGCGATAGTGAGCTCCACCGAAGGCCTCAGTGGCAGGGATTACATGCGTTCATTTCGGCACACCCATCATACGGGTCGTGGCCCTATGGGGAGCCCCACCGAAGGCCCCAGCGGCAGGGTTTACGCGTGGCCCCGCGGTTGGTTTCGGCACACCCCTCACCACAGGGAGCTCCACGCAAGGCCCCAATGGCAGCGTTTACATACGTCCCCGCCGCCTCGTTTCGGCGCACTCCTCACACGCTTCGTGGCCCCAAAGGGAGCTCCACCGAAGGCCCCAGTGCCGACGTTCCCGTGCGTCCCCGCCACCCATTTTCGGCACGCCCCCCCACACGGTTCGTGGCCCCATAGGGAGTTCCACCCAAGGCCCCAGTGGCGACGTTCCCATGCATCCCCGCCACCCATGCTGGCACACCCCTCACACGGTTCGTGGCCTCAGAGGGAGCTCCACCGAAGGCTCCAGAGGAGACGGCCCCATGTGTCCCCGCCACCCATTTCGGCACACCCCTCACACGGTTCGCGGCCCCATAGGGAGCCCCAGCGGCAACGTTCCCATGCGCCCCCGCCACCCATTTCGGCACACCCCTCACACGGTTCGTGGCCCCAGAGGGAGCTCCACGCAAGGCCCCAGTGGCGACGGTCCCAGGCGTCCCCGCCACCCATTTTCGGTACGCCCCCCACACGGTTCGTGCCCCCATACGGAGCGCCACCGAAGACGATATCCACAATTGCGGTATTCACATATACGAATGGTTGGGTCTTTCGCCAGGCTAATTTCTCGGCGAGGGCCCTCGAGGAGCATCTTTGATCATCGAGGAAAAATCTAGACGAAAGCGAAAAATACACGGGAAATGGACGTCCGAACGATGACAAGGTGTGGACAGAGCGATGTTCTTTGCGTGTTGCGTCGGTCGGTCTTCAGACTGTGGCTCTCGCCCCGGCACCGTGCACACTCGTGTCTGGAAGCCCGACTCAGCTACGTGCACCGATGCGGGGCAGCCGGTTTTCAGGATGTTGTCTTCGCTTTTGGCGCCGCGCCCATTCGTCGCCGACCTCCTGCAACGGCAGCAGGGACGGGGGGCAGGCCGTGCTTAGAGTGCGGTGTTCCGCCTCGGCGTCGCGCACGCTCGTCGCAGAGGCTTGCATCGGCCTGGCGGACGGGCAGCCCTCGTTCAAAACAGGGTTCTCGTTGGAGACGCCCTCAGATTCTACGGCACGAAAGTGGAGCAGGCGCTGAAGCTACACGGATGGGGGGGTGCCCCGTTCAACAGGAGGTTCGCGTTCGAGAGGCCAAAGGTTTTCAGGACCCGCAGAGGAGATGCGGATCGTGGTGCTCGTTGGGCATGCCTTTGAGCTTGAGGGTCGCACACATCGAGGCTGGAGGCCGCTCCCTCTTTTGAACGGGGGCCTCGCCTGAGTGGCAGGCAGGCCCCGGAGGCGCCCGTCCCTCGAGGGTTGCGCCTCCCGCCGCGGGGAGGACCATGGAGCAGCGACTCTCAAAGCGAACCTTGGGACGGCAGGCACCTCTTCCATCCCACCTCCTTCCCCCCTCCCTTCACTCTTTCCTGCTTCCTCGTCCTCTTCCTCCACTGCCTTTCCCCCATCCTCGCTCCCTCCCTCCGCCCCTCCTCCTCCTCCTCCTCCTCCTCCTCCTCCTCCTCCTCCTCCTCCTCCTCCTCCTCCTCCTCCTCCTCCTCCCTCCTCCTCCTCCTCCTCCTCCTCCTCCTCCTCCTCCTCTCCCTCCTCCTCCTCCGGAGAGTTGAATTTGAACCAGAGTGCGAGGAACGGCGACAGGAGTCGTTCGCGTGAGAGGCCCCGAGAAAAACGGTTTCTGAGCAGAGAGGCTTTTGCAGGTAGTGAGCGACTAACAGCTTTAGTGGCCCGAGGGGCCATCCCAGACCCCTTCGAGGCCACCTGTTTCGATACACATTCTGATCCCGATCTTCCCCCGATCCCCTTAGTAGTGGCGGCTAAGCGGGCTCCACGCAGAGGACGAAAGGGTAAGCAAGATTCTCACGGTAGACCTAGCTCGTCGGTCCCCTAGACGGCCCCTTTCGTACGCCTGCGCGGCGTCTGGGTTCGCCGTCGTTTCAGGGGCAGTGTTGGCTCTGCCAGAGGGGGTCCCCCCCTGTCTTTTTCACGGTTAACCCGCCTCCCCATGAAGTCGGGCTGCGCAGAGTTCATTGCCAGATTTATGGTATGAGATCGAGTAACTCATTTGGACTTCCGCGCATTGCTCATTGCTCATTGCTCCTCCTCCTCCCCCTCCTCCTCCTCCTCCTCCTCCTCCTCCTCCTCCTCCTCCTCCTCCTCCTCCCCCTCCTTCATCCCTGCCCCCCTCATCTTCCTGGAGGGCCCGCGGCCCGGGAGCGCGCCTGGCACCCGCCCCGCGCGCCCCCACAGGAGGAGCTCGCGCGGCAGACGCACGACCCGAGGAAGGCCGCCAGCGAGGCCCAGGGCCAGGCCTGGGGGGCGGAGAATGGAGGGGAGGGGGATGAGGAGGGAGAGGAGGAGGAGGAGGAGGAGAAGGAGGAGGCGAGGAGGAGGAGGAGGAGGAGGAGGAGGAGGAGGAGGAGGAGGAGGAGGAGGAGGAGGGAGGAGGAGGAGGAGGAGGAGGAGGAGGAGGAGGAGAGAGGAGGAGGAGGAGGAGGAGGAGGTGAGGAGGAGGAGAAGGAGGAGGAGGGAGGGAGGGAGGGAGGGAGGGAGGAGGAGGAGGAGGAGGAGGAGGAGGAGGAGGCCGTGGTAGTCGCCGAATGCCCACGTTTCCTTTGCCCGGAGGGAGACCCAGCCCGGGCTTCTCTGCCAGATCTGAGGTCGAGGGGAGAGACATTTTGCCAGACCGACGGTCGAGTCTTGGAACGGTAGATGCACTGCTGCACGATGCATCGTTCTGGGCTCAGTATGGTCCTAATCCTCATCAGCGGCACCGAGGACTTCTTCGAGGAGTGGGCGATCGTTGGTCGAGCGTGGCAGGAGTTGTGGAGCTACGAGGAGGTGTCCAAGGCCTTTCTGAAGGTGGATGCGAAGGTACTCGAGGTGTCGCTGACGAGGGGGGGTCGATTGTGAGGGAAGCTGACGCCCAAGGCTCGCGTGACGGAGGAGGCTCAGGGTGAGTACGTATGCGATTTGCTGGACGTGCAGGGGGTCGTTTGCGGCCTGAGCTTCGACTCGTTGAAGCAGCTGGTGACGCACATGACGAAGGCTCGTAGTGGGGGTCATGGCGTTCTGTGCCCGCTTAGGTGCTGTGTGCTCACGAACCAGTGTGTGAACTGTGGGAGCGTGTTTGTTTCAAAAGGCAGCGCGAAGCAACATGTTTCAGTTTCGTGGAGTCTCGGGCGTTGCCAGCCTCAGGGGGGCCATCAAGCGTGGGAGGAGGAACGTTCCGCTTGAGATTACGTGTAAAATGTGTGGGCTCGAGTTTGCTAACCTTACAGAATACTACACACACGCTCGTGCAGAACATTTGCCTCGCGCTGCTCTAAGTCTTGTGGAGCGCCATGCCCGCCACCCTCAAGGCGACAGAAGGAACCGCTGGAGAGGAGGACGCAGGCCGCCGCGTCAAGCCCCGCACCAAGCACGAGGGAGGCAGCAAGGACAAGCGGCTCAAGGGCATTGGCGACAAAGGGCTTCGTCGGCTCCTGCTCGTGATGGTCAAGCAGCTCCTAAGGTATTCACAGGGGATGCGCGAGCTCGACGAGTGCCTATTCGACACTTCTCTTTGCCCTGCCGGCGGATTCGAAGCGACGAAGATTCCAGAGCAGACGCACAACTACTCGACGGCGGCGAAGAAGGACGGGAAAGGACATCCCCACGGAGCACCGTACATCTGGGCGCTCGCGGGGCTGATCGAGGCGCTGAAAGAGAGGGGCAGCGAGGTAGGAGACACGAGCGCAAAGAGCGTCATGGAGATATGGGGGTGGCCCGGCCCACACAACATGGAAGAGAATATGGAGATGATCAGAATGTGTTGTCTGTGAAAGACGCACGACAAAGACAAGAAGAGGATCACCTTCGTGCTGCGCGACGAGCGGTGGCGCCAGGTGGTGATCCAGAGCTGCGGTCAGGTGGGGATGAGCCGCAAGCAGGGCAAGGCTCCAGCATCGTTCGTGGAGCGGGAGCTGCAGGAGTACGTGGACCAGCTGCAGCAGTAACAGAGCAAGTACGTGAGCCTGCGGCGGGGCCCGTGCGGAGGCGTGAACCTGCTGCTGCTGCTGCTGCTGTACTTGAGCGGGTACGCGAGCCCGCCGCCGCGGGCGCTCCTGCGGCTGCCCTGCCTGTCGGCACCCCCGCCGTGAAGCCGAGTGTTCCGCTTGAGAATAGTAGCCCTCCTCCTCCGCTCGGACCCCGGGGGCCCTGGGACTCCCTGACCTGTCTCGCCGTGGCTCCGTGGACCCCTCCTCCTCCTCTTCGAATGCGACGGGGACCCAGGGCGCTTCGGCGCAACCCGCCAATGCCGCGGTAGCCCCATGGGGGACCCCTCACTCCCACTGCCCTTTTGGCGTCTTTCCAGATCGAGCGGGGAAGCACCCGCTGGAACATCCTCATGACAAGTGTCAGGTTGCGCTCGATGTTGAAACGCACGAGGCAATAGATTCGTTTCTCCAGCCGGCCGTAACTCGAATCGGTCGGCGGGGCCAGCCGCGGGGCCATTGTCGGCCATAGGTTCGGCCCCTTCGCCCTGCATTTCGCTGGCCGCCTCGGTCCAAGTCACCGCGCGCCGCCTCTCGTTGGTGAGTCAGCGTGCACAGAGTGTCTGAATCTCGATTCCCCGGCACAAGCTTCGCAGGAGCTTCCATCAGCCACCACAAGGATAAGACAGATATAGAGGGGCCAACTGCGCAAAATTGAGAAAAAGCACCACCATCATCATCAGTAGCATCAGCATCGTTCTCATCATCACCAGCAACGACACCATCCACAGAATCACCATCATCAGCAGCATATTCATCACCGTCACCATCAGCATCGTCATCATCATCGTCAGCAGCACGACAACGAATAACAACAGCGATGGGTTTAAGACTGTTCGATCCTATCTGCTCGCGCGCCACCCAGCACGTACATCCCAAACCATCGGCACCCGCCCTCTTCGTCTTAGATCGTACCCCCGTTGGGGGGCATTTCGTCTTTACTTGCCACGCGCATGTCGCGCAGCCCCTAAACAGGGGAAGGGAGAACGGATGGATGGGGGAGGGAGAAGGATGGAACAGGAGAGAGATTAGCAGGAGGGGGGCTAGGTGCAGAAAACACGTGGCAGAACCAGCAACAAGCCTGCTCGACATGGCCGCCTTGGTCCGCTTTCCCGACCAGCTCGTTACGGTCTGCCCGCCCGATCTGGCCCTCACGGGCATCGCGAAGCGCGCACAGGATCACCCCACCCTCCACAATCCCGTTGGGGAGTGTGGGATGCGCGCGCGCTCCACAACAGCTCTCTCCCACTCTCAATATCTTCCTTCTCCCTCCCCCATCGCTTTTCCCCCTCCCTCCTCCCTGCTCCAGCCTGCCTGCCTGCCTCCCTGCTTTGCTGGGGGAGGAGGACGGAGACGCTTTCGCGCCTGCTACACGCGAGCGCCTCGTGCAAACCAGCGCTGGCAGCGGGCCCGGGCCCGCGGAGCGGGAGGCCCGAGGGGATCGGGGGGGGGCCAAAGGGCGCTCCTTGGAGAGGCCCAGGTCTCCGACGGCCCGCCTGCTTCCGATCCCGGCGTTGGCCTCAGATATCGGCCTCGCGTGCCCCCTTCGTCGGGGGCGGCAGAGGGGCGGGGGAGGGATGACCAGGGGGGGGATATCAAGGCGGGGGCCATGATATCCCCCAGGTGTCATCGCGCCTCCCTTTAGGTCGACATGTCCCCGGTCCACCCCTTGGGCCGCGCTCGTGTTGCTGGCCATGATTTGCGTTACCTCCTCTTGGACGCCCTCCTCGTGGACGCCCCCGACCCTGGGGGAGGTGTCGGGGCGTCCGACGCCGCGGATCAGGCGTGCAAGGAGGTCGGCTCCAGGGCAGGACTCGAGCGAAACGGTGTTTTGACGATCTCGTGGACCGTTTTCGTTGTGCTTTCGTTTTGCAGCAGAGGCGGACCGAAGACGGAGCGAGGCCGAACAGAATCGGCACGAGAACGAAGAGCACGGCAGAGGCTCGAGCCCTGCTCGGCCTCGCATGCCCCTCGGGGGAGGGGTCGGGACGTCCGACGTCCGAGGCCGCGGAGCAGGCGCTCGGAGGGTGCTCACGGAGGTGGCGGGGCGGAGGGCGGCCGGCCACGCGGACTCCGCCTCCAGCGCGGCCGCTGCCTGCTCCGCCCGGGCCCCCCGTGGGCTAGCCCCGGGCTGGCCTGCGCCACCCCGCCAGGGAGAGGCAGAAGAGGAGGAGGAGGAGGAGGAGGAGGTGGAGGAGGAGGGGGAGGAGGTGGAGGAGGAGGAGGAGGAGGGGAAGGAGGACGAGTCGGGAGCGGCCAAGGGAGGGGGGGGACTGGGGGGGGGGGGGACCTCGTGCCTGGGGCCACGACACCTCCTCGGATCTCATGGCGCCACTTCTTACCGCCACGCCCTCCCCCCCCCCCCGGGCCGCGCGCAGGCCGCCGGCCATGATTTGCGCGCCCCCCCCCTCTTGGACGCCCCCCTTCTGGACTCTCCCGAAGGAAGAGGATTGAACGAATCGCATCGTCGGATGTCTGAGGATCTCGCCCTCGAGGGACGGAAGGGTCGGCCTCTGCGGCGGCAGGTGGCGAAAGCGAGAGCGTCCGCGGTTTCGATGGATTCGTCCGCTTCGCAGTCTGCCGCGTTCGGTTGGTTCGGTTCGTTCGGCTGCTGCGCCGTTGCGGCCTTCCGGGCTGCTGTCGGCCCGTCGTTTTCGCTCGGTTTCGGTTTCGCTATCGTTTCGGCCGGTATGCGATGTTGGTGTCACCGTGCACGTCGATGGAAAGGCCAGCGGAGTTAAAACGAGGGCGGCTCCGCTGGCGGATGCTCAGCGGAGTCCAGCGGAAGTGAAAGATGCCCCTGCCAAGAGATGACGTATGACTTGGTCAGGCTCAGGGTTTCCAGAGTTGGCCAAATAGGATTCGGGCCACACGATTCGACGGATGAGCTGGGATGTGAAACGAGTTCTGGTCCTCCAATGTGTTTCCCCATTCTTCCTCCAAACTCTCCCCCCAAACCACCATCCTCCAACACCTTCGTTCTAATATCATTCCCCGTCCTTCTCCATCTTTAGCAGTATGGGTTCACTACATGTTGCCTCATGTCATCAGGGGTCAAGCAGCTAGGGCTCATAAAGTTGTGTTGATCCGAACTACGTTGCGCGGGACAGATTGGGATTCCAGACGTCCGCTGAGGAGCTGGACCTGAATGTTCCTTCCCCGATACGGGGGCCAGGGCAATGTATGGGACTGAGGCGCTGCAAGTGTTCCGCGAAGCGTCTCCGTTGTGTGCCCAAGGCCTGCGCCGTGGCACTGCGGCTGTCACAGCATTCGGAAGGGGGCGGCAGTGGCAGCGGGCGATGTCGCTTCTCAGCGAAATGGTTGGATTGAGGATGGAGCTTGACATCATCACCTACAGCGCTGGGATCAGCGCGTGCGAGAAAGGCAAACAATGGCAGCAGGCCATGTTGCTGCTCAACGAGATGGCGGGGGCAAAGTTGGAGCCAGACGTCATCAATTACAATGCTGGGATCAGCGCATGCGAGAAGGGTAAACAATGGCCGCAGGCCGTGTCGCTGCTCAACGAGATGCCGGGGGCGAAGTTGGAGCCCGACGTCATCAGCTACAACTCGGGGATCAGCGCGTGCGTGCAGGGCGAGCAGTGGCAGCGCGCTGTGGCGCTGTTAAACACGATGTTGGAGGCGGAGCTGGAACCAACCGTCATCAGCTACAACGCCGGGATAAGCGCATGCGGGAAGGGCGAGCAGTGGCAGCGAGCTCTGGCGCTGCTCAGCGAGATGCGGGAGGCGAAGCTGGAGCCAACCGTCATCTCTACTACATTGCAGGGCCCAGTGCGTGCCAGAAGGGCGCAGGCTCCATTAACTCATAACCGCCCCGGGCTGGCCCCGGGCCGCCTCGGGCCGCCCAGGCAGGCTCCAGGACATGTCGAGAGGGCCCTCAGAAGCCCCCAAGACGGCCCCGGAGAGCCCCGGCACGCTTAAAGATGGGCCCAAGACGCCCGAGATTCGCCCCAGGCGGCCCAAGAGGCGTCCAAGACGCCCGAAGAGGCCTCCCAAGAGGCCTCCCAAGAGGGCCCCGAGCGACAGAAATCGTCGATTTCTATGTGTTTTTCGATGTTTTCGGCCTCCTCGCCTCTTCGGCTTCCCGACGCTCCAAGACGGCCCAAGAAGTCCCCCCGACCGCTCCAAGACGGCCGAAGAGGACCCCAAGAGAGCCCCAAGACGGGCCAGGAGGGCCCCAAGACGGTCCCAAGACGCCCCAGGACGGCCCCAGGACGGCCCAGGAGGCGCCCCAGACGGCCCAAGAGGCACCCAAGACGGCCCCAGGAGCGGCCCAAGACGGCCCAAGACAGCCCAAGAGGCGCCGAGGCGGGCCTCAGACGGCCCCAAGACGGCCCAAGAGGCACCCAAGACGGCCCGAGAGGGCCCTAAGAGCCCCCCCGGGAGGCCCAAAAGAATGCCGAAGAGGCTCCGAAACGGCCCCACGAAGCCTTCAGTGGCTTCAGAATTCCCTCCAGGAGCGGGGGAGAGGACGAGAGGCGACAGGCATATCGCAGGCAAAAACGCCCCAAGAGATCCCCAAACGGCCCCCACGAAGCCTTCAGTGGCCTCAGAATTGCTTCCAGGAGGGGGGGAGCGGACGAGAGGCGACCGGCATATCGAAGGCACAAAAGAACAATGTTGGACGCTCCGAGGGCCTTCGATGTTTCTCTGTTGGGGAGAGTCGTCGTAGGATCGACGATTGCCGACCGAGGGCATGGAGAATCCAGCGAAAGAGGAGAAGAAGGTGGGAGGAGGAGGAGGAGGAGGAGGAGGCGGAGGAGGAGGAGGAGGAGGAGGGGGAGGAAGCAGCAGGACCTCCGAGCAGCAGCAGCAGCTGAGGAACACAGGAGAGCCCGACGCCATCATGATTGCCTTTCGGCCCTGCAGCCGCAGCCCCCCGCGCTTGCCCAGAGACCCCTCGCCACGTCGAGCTGATGTCGTGGACGGAGTCCACAGGTCTGCCCTAGTCAGCTACAACGCTGGGATCAGCGCGTGCGAGAAGGGCGAGCGGTGGCAACGGTCTATGGCTCTGCTCAGCGAGATGCGGGAGGCGAGGTTGGAGCCAACCGTCATCAGCTACAGCGCCGGGATAAGCGCATGCCGGAAGGACGACCAGTGGCGGCGGGCTCTGGCACTGTTCAGTGAGATGCTGGAGGCGAGGCTAGAGCCAACGGTCATCAGCTACAATGCCGGAATAAGCGCATGCGAGAAGGGCGATCAGTGGCAGCTGGCTCTTACGCTGCTGAGCGGGATGCGGGAGGCGATGCTGGAGCACTGCGTCATCAGCTACAACGCTGGGATCAGCGCGTGCGGGAAGGGCAGGGAGTGGCAACGGGCTTTGGTGCTGCTCAGCGAGATGCGGGTTACGAAGTTGAAGCCCGACGTCATCTGTACTACAATTCCGGGCGAAGCGCGCGCGCGAGAAGTACAAGCAGTGGCAGCGCCCCGGGCCGCCCAGAGAGCTCGCGGGCCGCCTGGAGAGCCTCCGGGCCGCTGCCCGACGGGCCCGGGAGGCCCCCGGACCGCTCGCGGACTGATCCAGGAATCCCAGATCGCCCCAAGACGGCCTCAGGAGGTCCCGAAGACGGCCCAAGACGGTCCAAGAGTGTATCCGAGACGCTTAAGATGGCTTCAAGACGCCTTCAAGGCGGCCCGAGACGCCTCCACGAGGCCCCCAGAGCGCTCGAAGTGTACCTCCAAGAGGGGCCGCAGAAGCCAAGATCGTTGATTTTCTTTGTTTTTTTCTATGTTTCTGGCCTTCTCGCTTTTTCGGCTTTCCGACGTTCCAAGACGGCCCAAGAGGCCCCCAAGACCGTTCCAAGACGGCCCAAGAGGCCTTCAAGACGGCCCCAAGACGGCCCAAGAGGGCCCCAAGACGGCCCAGGAGTCGCCCAAGACGGCCCAAGAGGGCCCCAAGAAGGCCCCAAGAGAGGCCCAAGACAGGGACCCGGAACCGAAAAATTGAGGCCTCCACTCCACCCCAAGAGGCCCCCAGGAAGCCCCAAGATGCCCCAAAGAAACGCCGGGACGCTCCCAAGACATCCCCAGGAGGCCCCAGGACGTCCCACAGAGGCTCCAAGAGGCCCCCCAGAGGCCGCCAAGCGCCCCAAAAGGCCCCCAAGAGGCCCCAAAAGAGGGCCCAAGAGACCCCAAGACGCCCCCAAACTGCTACCAAGAAGCCCCCAAACTGTCTCCCAGAGGCTCCCGAGAGGCCAACCACCAGATCCCAACCAACATCCACGAGATCTCTTACCCATTACCCAGGCCCTCGGCGAGATTGCCCGCAGGCCACTACAGCCGGTTCGGGGACCCTACGTATACCAGCACCCGCACCCTTGGCTGTATCGGGGGCCTCACCGCTGCTCTCTCGGTTCTGCTGGCTTCGACCTGCTAGAGCTCTGAGCCGCTCCCCGACGCCCCCAGGACGCCCCTGGAGCGCTCCCCGACGGCTCCCGGACCCCCACATCGCTCCAAGACGGCCCCAAAGACGTCCAAGAGAGCCGAAGCCGATCCGGCCAGAGCCCCACGACGGCTTCAAAATGCCCCAGAGACGTGCCTCGAGGGCCCCGTGGACCATGCCTTGAGTTTGGGCTGATCGCGCACAGTCCCAGCGCGATTAGCAAAAACCCATGCCTTTTCACGCTTCCAGCTCAGTGCCCCCGGGGCTCCCCGACTGCTTTCTGAGATCGCCCCTGGACGTGGCCCCTTACACGTCGGCTCCACGCGTGGCCTCCAAACGGGACCCCCAGAGGCGGCCCCCACACAAAGCCTCCGAAGGTCGCCCCTACCGCCCCAGTAAGCGTGGCCCCCGAACGTCAACCACACGCGTAGCCCCAAGGCGCCCCCAAACGTGGCCCCAAGACACACAGCCCCCAACCATTGCCCTCAAACGCGACCGTCACATGTGCCCCCGAACCCCGCACGCGGCCCCCAAACATGGCCCCCGGCAGGGCCGCGAACGTTGCCCCCAATCATGACCCCCTGACGAGACCCCCCAACGTGGCCCTCAAACGAGGTCCCCCAACGTAACGCCCAACTCTGGCCCCCACGCGTCCACCCCCCACATCGAACTTCTCGCGCACAGGGACTCTGTAAGATCGTTCGGGCCCCCTTACTCTGATTGTGTATGAAAACCTACGTGTTTCTGCTAATCGCGCCCAGGCCTCGCGCGATTAGCAAAAACACATTACTTTTGACGCTTCCAGCGCTTCCAACACGTGCGCGTTCGGGACCAACGCCTGGACCTGCGGGCCGTGGATTTTCCACGGGTTCGCACTAGTCAGCTACAACGCTGGAGTCAGCGCGTGCGAGAAGGGCGAGCAGTGGCAGCAGGCCCTGTCGCTGCTCAGCGAGATGTGGGAGGCGAGAGTGGAGTCCAACGTCGTCAGCTACAACGCTGGAGTCAGCGCGCTTGCCAAAGTTGAGCAGTGGCAGCAGGCCCTGTCGCTGCTCCGTGGCATGCGGGAGGCGAGGTTGGAGCCCGACGTCATCAGCTACAGCGCTGGGATCGGCGCGTGCGAGAAAGGCGAGCAGTGGCAGCTGGCCCTGTTGCTGCTCAGCGAGATGCCGATGGCGAAAGTAGAGCCCGACGCTTGCAGCTACAACGCTGCGATCAGCGCTTGTGAGAAGGGCGACCAGTGGCAGCGGGCTTTGTCATTGATCTGTGAGATGGTGAAGACGAAGATTGAGCCCGACGTCATCAGCTACAACTCGGGGATCAGCGCGTGCGAGAAGGGCGAGCAGTGGCAGCGCGCCCTGGCGCTGCTCAGCGAGATGCGGGAGGCGAAGCTGGAGCCGACCGTCACCT